AGAGCCATGGAAAGGCTCAGCCTTGAAAAAAAAAATGTGCCCACTTCTAACCTGATCAGCAAAGGAAACCACCCAGGGGCTTGGCTGAGAAGTAAGGTCTCTATCTTTGCTCAAGTTTTAAGGAAAAAGTTACATCTTCCCTTCGGGGATTCAGATCATGTGGGGTTAAAAGGATACCTTTCCTAGAATCTATAGCAAAGTGGAGAGTTGTGATAGTTTTGGGCTGTGTGTAATTAAGTAGACTTGTACATAGGTAGAAATATTTGCTTAGTTTCTTTCTTGCACCAAACTGGACAGGAAACCCAGGCATTCTGGGAAGCAAAGTGAATACAATTTGTAGAAGAGGGAAAATAATGGGGGGAGGGGGGAATCCCTGCCATTTCTCTAGTCTCAATAAACTATTTAATTGCAGAAGGTGCTGAAATATCAAATGTTTTGATATTTCTGAGTTTGGCAGGCCTGGGTGGCAGAATAAGCTTCCTCAGAAAGATTGGGGAGCAGCACACCCAATCGCATTTCTCCTTGAGGTGGTCCGTTCCACCTTAAATAACTTGGGCTTTTTGGTCCCAAATGCGCCCTGTAGTTCAGGTTTTTTTGTCCTCCCTGCAGCAGCTGTCACCCTGCATTACTCGCAGTCAGCTAAATGAAACATTATTCTAAACATATGCATCGTAATCAGTTCGGTCACACTTACAAGAACACGCGTTAATAAGGCAATCAATCACCCTGGAACAAGCAAGTTGTTCTGTAACAGCTCATAAACAGTGTGTAATGAAGAATTGGAGGTTACCGTGACATGCGTTGATCAGATAATCAATGTCAAAGATGCGATGAATGTCAGTAAATGTAGTTTTCATGTCGTTTCTATAAAATCTTCAATTTATAACAAGCAGTTCAATTACCCAGAAAATACAGTCAATTAAATAGGGGTGATTGGACAGTAGGGGGGTGGATCATCGATCTTTGCATTTCTATCTCGCCGGTGGACATTTAATTTGGTTTTTCTATTAGCGACGAAATAAAGAAAATATAAAATATATTAAACAACCTACAGATTTATTTTCTTGTCAAAAACAATTCGAGCCTGATGACAGACAGTCTTCTGCATTTTATGATGAATTATTTTTTCATTCTTTGCACACTCGAGACAAAAAAAATGCTGTTATTTTGGACAGGGTTTTTTGGCCACTGTCTTTTTCTGTTTGCTGGCCCATCTGTCTCAATGCTTTTGTTTTTAAGGGTTACAACCCTCGAGTTAGCAAAGAGCACTGAAAACCAGGGTGATACATCACCAGTCCAAATGTGCTGCTATAATCGTATTTCTTTAATGGGGGTGTTCAAGAAAAGAGAGGAGGAAAGAGAGAAAAGAACTTATATGGGGAGGAGGGAACCCTCGGGATTACTCCAGTATATATTTAACCAACCTGCAATTAAAGACGGTATCAGCTTGTATCATTTAGAGCTAATGCAATAATAATGGTAAATTACAGGCCAAAATGGCTTGTGATCGCAGCCTCTGTATTCCCAATAGTGTCCACGTCGTTGTAATTAATGCCAGGGTGAGCAGTTGGGAAAAGAAAATTTCAAGGAAGGGACATCTTGGTTTTTAAATCGAATAGAAATAGACCACTTTGCACACACCATTGACTCTTGCGTTTCGCCATCGAAATATCGACTTTAAGGCAGATCTGTAAATACACGAAGAGGTGGATTAAACTTGGGAAAGGAGCAGAGATTGGGAAAGAAAAGAAGGGCAGAAAACTAAAGAAAGAGAAGGGGAGATCATATTTTTAAATATCCAATTGCCTGAAATATCCATAGTCAATTTGGTAAAATGTTTGCAGTAGGTAACACAGAAACATTATTTGAGTTTAAAGAATTTGCTACTCACTGAAACAAGGCCAAAGCAGGCAGAGCTAGTGTGAGAGGGTGAGCCAGGGGAAGGGAGCATGTTTGGTACTTTCAAGGGCCTATTAAATGTAGAATTTTTTCTTGAATAGAAGATTAATATATACTCGATAAAGAAAGAATAAAAAAGGCCAGCTAATTAGACAGGGGGATTAATTTTGTTTACCTTAAACATAAACAGCCCCTGAGTTGTGTGTACACACTCCTTGTATTTATGCCGGCATGCCGTCTATATTTTGTATCCACAGACACACTACTCCTAAACACTTATCTGTTTAGCCAGCCAATTAACGTTAAACCAATGTTTGGATGTAGTGCGCATCTCCTATAAACATGAGTAATGTATTTGCCGTAAAAATAATGATTAGAATGAATTAATCCATCTGATATGTGTATTATATGAATTTAAATATGTTGTTTTAAGAGATTTTCATAACCCTGGGTGCCACAGTTAAAAACAAACACCAGTACGCACCGTTTTGCAATCTCATAAACAAATAAAATCGCTTTGATTTAAATAACATTTATTTTACATGACCAAACACAATAAATAACGTAATATACAAAGCTTTATAATTATTGCACATTTGTAAAATATCTTACAGTGAGTTCATACAGCCAGCAATATTTAAAGCACGAAGACTTTATTTACAGTTTTTATTTTAATATAATAACCAGATCCAATGGACCTAACATAACATGAATTTATGTTCATTTTTTCAACCATCCTTCTCACCGGTCATATATATTTGGAGGGGAAATGTAAACATTATCGCCTAAAGTACCTTATATACATCTAATAGCTGATCATAAGAAAGGACTTTAACGATCTACAAAGTTAAAGCTGATAAAGGGTACCATATTTTGGTTTATTTTATTTAGCCTTAAATTATATATTAATATTTTTAATGTAAACTCAGTAAGAGCTGGTATAATCAATATTTAACATAAGTAGTCTCATCTCTTTAAAGAAAAAAGAAAAAAAGTTGAGCTTTAGATCATTGCTATTTCATTGGGAAATTCTCTAATATTTTATGGGAATATTTTAATAGACCTCAGGAGGAAATGTTGTTTCCCCTTGAAATATTTTCCATCTGATGAAAATAATAATTTATCCTGGAAAGTGAATTCTTTCAAAAGCCTCCTGAAAGCCTATTTTTAGAAAATGAATTTTTAAAATCCAGTGTCTTTAAAATAACAAAAATATGTCAGAACACAAATTTGAAATAAATCACAGAAAATAGTGCCAATGGGTATATATGAATGTGTGTGTATATCTCTTACATATGTATATGTTTAAGAGAGCAGATATATATGTATATATATATACATACATACATATATACACACACACAAATATGTAGGTAGCATACCTACATTTTAATACACATACCCACTTCACTGGGTCTAAACATGCACTAGCAAGTTATTTTAGGGCTTTAACTCTTCAGAAAAATCTCATTATGTGAGGGGCGAAGTAGCTCTGCGGGGAGCATTATGGAAATATCTGGGCTTGATTTAATGAGGCTGTTCACATTGGTGGAATATCAACTTAACAGAGAAGTCTACCCAGGACGTCCAAGTTACCAAAATGAAAATTGGCAATTGAGATGATAAGAACGTGTCTTTCTTCTGCGAAATCACTTCAGGTAACAGAGATAACATTAAATAACATACATTCTATGCACCAAGAACAATGTTTTATGTACCGAGTCTCTTATCCGTCTCTCCTAATGACTTCCCTTAGCGGGTTGTTAGTACTTGACAGCAGGTCTCCGTGCGGGGAACTTTTCTCCAATTCCACATTCAAAGGAGGTCCATCAGAGAGCATGATTGGCAATTTTCGTCATAATCTGCACATTATTAGCATCAAAATTGACGTGGCAGTTAACACTGGTGGGTTTTGATGTGCCTTTCTTCAAGTTCAAGGAAACCCCCTCCAGTAGCCGGAGTTGGCAGAGCGGGTCTCCACAACCCAGCGGCGGCTGTGCAGCGGCGAAGGCGCAATAGACATGCGTGAGAAATATGCCAAGAACCATTTTACCGGAGGAATGAGAAAGCGAAGAACGAAAGGAATGAGGGAGAGAGAGTTCGAACTCAGAAAAGTGTCTAAGGAAATGCTGCGGGAGAACAGCATACATCGAGAGATTCAAGTATTTCCCAGATGAAGTGGAACCCGGTAGCTGAAAAACTGAGCTGAAAACGCTTCTTCCAATACTCCAGAGACCTGTCCATCTCGCTCTCCCCTTCATGCCCCTTTTCTTTCCTGGCCTGGCTGTGGACACCTCATTAGCCATTGCTTTTTGCATAAAATATTCAAGACGCCTCCATCCCAAACCAAAAAAAGAGAAAGTGGCGGTGGGCCGAGAGAGAGGAGGCGAGACGCCACCCCTTCCCACCTCGGCTTTGTCCTTCCTGGGGAGGCGGCCGCAGCCCCGCCGGCCCGGCCCCCGCGCGCAGTAAACCATCTCACAACACACACCCACCGCCGTCCGTGCTGTCCGTCCGCCCTCCTGGCCTCTCCTCAGACCTCCCATCCTGCCGCTCTCCTCGGACAGGGCCCTAACAAGCTCAGGCTGCGAGAAACGCCGCCACCTACCCTCACCCTCTTTTACAGAAAAGCAAGGATGAGGGGGGAAAGAGCAGCTGCAGGAGCCTGGAGGGTGACTTTCCCTCCCGCACAGAGCACAAGCGCACACCATTCCCCCCTCTCTTTGTTGTGGTTCACCGTCGCTGCCCGCCACGTGGCTCGGCCGAAGAACCCGGGCCTCGGGGCTTGCAGCGAGCCCCAGGCCCCGGAGGGGTGGTTTGAGGACGAGGGGGTTGTCTTCGGGGAGACCTAGAGCTCGGGACAGAGGCGGGAAGCAGGCCCTGGGCAGCGGAAAACATACTTAGAGAAGGGGAGGCGGCTGGGTAGCAAATACAAAAATAGAAATAATTTGTGGGGGGACGCCCGCCGGGCTTCGCGCCCGTTCTTTCCCCCCAATTCCTGCAGGTTCCCTTCAGCCTCCCGCGCCGGGGCGCCCCCTGCCGGCAGCTTTAGCGGAGGGCAGCGCGCGGAGGGCACGTGGACGCCCAGAGGGCGCGGGGGGCGTGGAGGGGACTCCTGGGCACGGCCCCCGGTGGCGGCGACGTAGTTATCTGGTGAGAGGCGCCTCGTCCCTCTGGTCCGGCGGGCTCACGGCCGTCTTGCTCAGCACAGCCGCGGAGTAGGGCAGGAAGCCGCTCTCGGAGCGCGGCGCCGCGGCGCTGCACCCGAAGTCTGAGCCCACCGAGGATCATGCTCCGAACACCTGAGCCCCGCTGGCCAGTGCTCAAAAATTTTTTGTTTAATAGGACTTTATTTTTTTAGAACAATTTTAGGTTCACGCCAAAGGTTGACATGGAAAGACCCGGGATTTCTCCCTGGGGGCTTCTGCTCCCGCAATATGCTCAGGGTCTCACACCCGGATGGGTTTACTTGCTTACATCCCGGGTAAGTGCTTTTGACTCAGCCTTCAGCACTCTACGCCCATACACGCACCCAAGGGGTCATTCACATCCCGAAAATTCGGTTAGCTTTTAATTGCATAATCGCAAATCTCCTACCACTCAGTTACTCTTACTAACAAATCTCCTCTCACCACAATAGTCCCCTGCAAATGTCACCTATTCTTACTGGCCCCCAGCGATGCTAGTTATTTGCTTTTTTTTTATATAACCGACTTTTGTGGCTCTAAGAAAATTAAAATTCTTTTTGGGACTTTTTGCGCGGCGAAAACCTCTAT